AGACTCCGAAACGTTGCCTCGCTGTAACTATGTGATCGTTCATTAAAACTGATGAAGGGGTCCTGCGAGACTCGAAACGTTGCCTCGCTGTAACTATGTGATCGTTCATTAAAACTGATGAAGGGGTCCTGCGAGTCTCCGAAACGTTGCCTTGCTGTAACTATGTGATCGTTCAATAAAACTTTTGGACCCACATTAGTGATCCTCGGTGTGCTGGCGACATTCTCCCAAACTTTTACAGTTGTCACCAAAGCAGAAGATGAGGATAAATCTTCTAATGGAGACACCTGTTTTATGACATCTAAGGTCTCGTTCACATGGGCAGACCTGAGTGTACACCCATGTGCAGTGCATGCATGAGATTCAGAAGTGTTCTGTGCATGCATGTGCAGGCAGTCCCATTTATCTCTATTGGGATACAGTGGCTGCTCCCAATTTGACATCCGTGTGGGCTTGAGTCCCTTGAACGCAAAGTTCAGGGATACTCACCCTCCTCCATACAGATATCATATTGTCCATACAGCCGCTGTGTCCCAGTTGACATGAATGAGACTCTCTGAATGCGGATGCACGGAACACCTATGCATCCAATGGAGGCAAAACACGGCCCCTATACACGTACATGTTTAAAGCATAACTACGCTGCACCTGAGCAAATCAAACCAAAAACACTTTTTAATTCTTTTTAAATATTCAAAGCAAAAACTCCCCTATCCCCCCATGCTTTATTTTGCTGAAAAATCACTTTGAAAAGCATACCCCCCTAGCATTTCTGGCTGTGGCCCCCTTTAGGAGGAGAGGAGGGGTTTCTCTTAGCTAAGCACACCCTCCTGCCTGTATGCCTGAGCTAAGGGCAGATGGATTCCAGGAAGTAAATGCTGCATGAATTATCTACCCTTAGCTCAGGCATGCAGGCAGGAGGGTGTGCTTAGCTAAACCCCTTTTCTCCTTCTAAAGGCACCTGGGATGTATGACATCATTTGCCTAGGAATGGAAACCAGGAAGTAACTGAAGAAATGTAAAAAAAAAAAAAAATTAAACAAGTAAATATGATCTACTTTCCTATGTATTTACCAAAGCTAGCAGCATAAGGGTTAAAAATAGTCAACGCTGAATGAGAGAGTGAAGTTCCGCTTTAAGTTCGTCCATGTAAACGAGGCCTAAGTCCCAGTTCACACTGATGCGGCTTGTCGTAACAAAGTCACATGACAAGCCTCACCCTATTTACTGCTATGGAACCGTTCAAATCAGATCAATTCAAGTCGCAGAGACTTTGAAAACGATTCCTGCGCTATTTTTGTGCAATTTCATTTGCAGCTTGCATCAACATCTGTGTAAATGAAGTCGCACAGATGTCGGCAAGCCACACACGAAGTCATACTGATCGGCGGCTTTGAAATCACGCTGAAGTAGTGAGACTTGAAAGCCGCTCCAGTGTGAACTGGATGTTAGAAGAGATTTCAACTCACTTCTTGCGTCTTCTGGGACGGGAAAGGCAGGGAAAGCCTCCCAACAGGCAAAAAATATATTTACTATCATTTTTTACTTTTCCCTACTCCATCCACAACTTTCGGCTATACATACATACTAATGACCCATCCTGGGCTCCCACAGCTGTCAGGTGTATTTGAAAGATTGTGTATTTTGAAATGTTTCTTATTTACCATTTTCAGGCAGCAGGCGGAGCTACAAGCATTCTGTGTTCTTTACTTCTGTGCTGTAAAGAATAAGTTGTTTTATACCATGCTGCTCAGCCCTATTCAGCTCAAATACAGCTGAGACAGAGGAGGGGCGCAACCCTTCCCTGTTCTTAGGGCTGTCAGTTAGAGAGAGGCAATCCACAAGTGAGCAGCTGCAGATGGCTTTCATATTATACACTCGAGTACTGTCCGTGATACTTTTTTTAATACGGCTACAATCACCTCAAGCATATTATACACTCGGAATTCTGGGCAGGAACTGGTGCAGAAACATACACTCACTGGCCACTTTATTAGGTCCACCTTGCCAGTACCGAGTTGGATACCCTTTTGCCCTCAGAACTACTTTCATTCTTCATGGCATCAATTCAACAAGCGTTGGAAAACGTTCCTCAGAGATTGTGCTCCATATTGACATGATAGCATCACACAGTTGCTGCATTTGTCGGCTGCACATCCATGATGCAAATCTTCCATTCCCATTCCACCCCATGCCAAAGGTGCTCTAGTGGATGGAGATCTGGTGGCTGTGGAGACCATTGGAGTACAGTGACCTCATTGTCATGTTCAAGAAACCAGTTGGAGATGATTTGAACTTTGTGACATGGTGCATTATCCTGCTGGAAGTCACTATCAGAAGATGGGGACACTGGAGTCATATGACATGTTGCATTATCCTGCTGGAAGGAGCCATCAGAAGATGGGGACACTGGAGTCATATGACATGGTGCATTATCCTGCTGGAAGTCGCTATCAGAAGATGTGGACACTGGAGTCATATGACATGGTGCATTATCCTGCTGGAAGGAGCCATCAGAAGATGTGGACACTGGAGTCATATGACATGGTGCAATATCCTGCTGGAAGGAGCCATCAGAAGATGTGGACACTGGAGTCATATGACATGGTGCATTATCCTGCTGGAAGGAGCCATCAGAAGATGTGGACACTGGAGTCATATGACATGGTGCATTATCCTGCTGGAAGGAGCCATCAGAAGATGTGGACACTGGAGTCATATGACATGGTGCATTATCCTGCTGGAAGGAAGCATCAGAAGATGTGGACACTGGAGTCATATGACATGGTGCATTATCCTGCTGGAAGGAGCCATCAGAAGATGGGGACACTGGAGTCATATGACATGGTGCATTATCCTGCTGGAAGGAAGCATCAGAAGATGTGGACACTGGAGTCATATGACATCCTGCGGTGCATTGATCCTGCTGGAAGTCGCTATCAGAAGATGGGGACACTGGAGTCATATGACATGGTGCATTATCCTGCTGGAAGGAGCCATCAGAAGATCAGAAGATGGGGACACTGGAGTCATATGACATGGTGCATTATCCTGCTGGAAGTCGCTATCAGAAGATGTGGACACTGGAGTCATATGACATGGTGCATTGTCCTGCTGGAAGTCGCTATCAGAAGATGGGTACACTGGATTCATAAAGGAATGGACATGGTCAGCAACAATATTCAGGTAGGCTGTGGCATTTAAACAATGCTCAATTGGTACTAAGGGGCCCAAAGTGTGCCAAGAAAATACCCCTTCCCCCTCACACACCATGACACCTCCACCAGCCTGACCCATTGATACAAGGTAGGATGGATCCACCATGACCATGACACTAACCATCACTAACACCAGCCTGACCTGTTGATACAAGGCAGGATGGATCCACCACACCATGACACCACCACAGCCTAACCCATTGATACAAGGCAGGATGGATCCACCACACCATGACACCCCCACCACCAGCCTGACCCGTTGATAAAAGGCAGGATGGATCCACCACACCATGACACCCCCACCACCAGCCTGACCCGTTGATACAAGGCAGGATGGATCCACCACACCATGACACCACTACCAGCCTAACCCGTTGATACAACTTATTAAGAAGTAGAAAATTTGGGGATCTCTTGATACCAAGCTAAGGTCAGGTAGACCAAGAAAAATTGCAACCATAACTGCCAGAAGAATTGTTTGGGATACAAAGAAAAACCCCACAGCTAACCTCAGAAGAAATAAAAGCTGCTCTGAAAAAAGATGGTGTGGTTGTTTCAAGGAGCACAATGTGATGATACTTGAACAAAAATGAGCTGCATAGTGAAGTTGCCAGAAAGAAACCTTTACTGTGCCTATGCCATAAATAGCCCGGTTACAATATGCCCGACAACACCTTGACACACCTCACAGCTTCTGGCACACTGTAATCTGGAGTGAAGAGACGAAAATAGAGCTCTATGGTCACAACCATAGGCGCTATGTTTGGAGAGGGGTTACCAAGGGCCATAGCGAAAGGATTACAATCCCCACTGTGAAGCATGGTGGTGGCTCACTGAAGTTTTGCATGGGGAATCTTGTGAAAATTGATAGCAAGATGAATTATTACAGGTACTTATATAGGGCTGTCAATTTATGCAGTGGTTTACATATATATTGTACATTCGCATCAGCACCTAACCCTCAAGGGGCGTACAATCTAAGGTCCCCTAACTACATTCATATATTAGGGCCAATTTAGACAGCATCCAGTTAACCTACCAGCATGTCTTTGGAGTGTGGGAGGAAACCCATGCAGGAACAAGGAGAACATGCAAACTCCAGGCAGGTGGTGCCATGGTTGGGATTTGAACCAACGACCCTAGTGCTGCCAGGCAGAAGTGCTAACCACTTAGCCATTGTGCTGCTTTATCAGAGAGTTTGCATTCTTCTTCACGAAAGCTGCTCATGGGATGTTCTTGGACTTTCCAGCAAGACAATTGCCCTAAGCACAAGGCCAAGTTGACCCTCCAGTGGTTACAGCAGAAAAAGGTAAAGGTTCTGGAGTGGCCATCACAGTCTCCGGACTTTATTATCATCGAGCCGCTCCGGGGAGATCTCAAATGTGTGATTCATACAAGACAACCAAAGACTTTGCATGACCTGGAGGCATTTTGCCAAAACGAATGGGCAGCTACACCACCTGCAAGATTTCAGGGACTCATAGACAACTATTACAAAAGACTGCACACTGTCAGTGATGCCAACGGGGGTCATACACAGGATTAGGAACTAAGGGGATGCAAACCTATGAACAGGGGCCATTTCATTGGTTTACTTGTTGCCATGTTTTGTTTTATGATTGGACCATTCTGTGATCACCTACAGGTACAGAATATAATCCCATAAGAAATACAAGAAATGGGTCTTGCAGCTCACTCATGTTTTCTTTATAAATGGTACATCCTCTATATTACCAATTCTCCAAGGGGAGGCAAACTTTTGAGCACAAGTGTATACCCGACATACAGGACAGGAGAAGTGGTACTGTGCAGAGTCTGTACATACAGAACAAGAACAGATACTGAGAATTACACCCGGCATACAGGACAGGAGAAGTGGTACTGTGCAGAGTCCGTACATACAGAACAAGAACAGATACTGAGAATTACACCCGGCATACAGGACAGGAGAAGTGGGACTGTGCAGAGTCCATACATACAGAATAGGAACAGATACTGAGAATTACACCCGGCATACAGGACAAGGGAAGTGGAACTGTGCAGAGTCCATGCATTCAGAATAAGAACAGATACTGAGAATGGCACCCGGCATACAGGATAGGAGAAGTGGGACTGTGCAGAGTCCACACATACAGAATAGGAACAGATACTGAGAATGACACCCGGCATACAGGACAGGAGAAGTGGGACTGTGAAGAGTCCACACATACAGAATAGGAACAGATACCAAGAATTACACCCGGCATACAGGACAGGAGGAATGGGACTGAGCAGAGTCCATCCATACAGGATAAGAAGAGATACAGAGAATGACACCCGGCATACAGGACAAGAGAAGTGGGACTGTGCAGAGTCCATACATACAGAATAAGAACAGATACTGAGAATTACACCCGCCATACAGGACAGGAGAAGTGGGACTGTGCAGAGTCCATACATACAGAATAAGGAGATACCGAGAATTACACCCGGCATACAGGACAAGAGAAGTGGGACTGTGCAGAGTCCGTACATACAGAATAAGAAGAGATACAGAGAATGACAGCCGGCATACAGGACAGGAGAAGTGGGACTGTGCAGAGTCCATACATACAGAATAAGGAGATACTGAGAATTACACCCGGCATACAGGACAAGAGAAGTGGGACTGTGCAGAGTCCTTACATACAGAATAAGGAGATACCGAGAATTACACCCGGCATACAGGACAAGAGAAGTGGGACTGTGCAGAGTCCTTACATACAGAATAAGGAGATACTGAGAATTACACCCGACATACAGGACAGGAGAAGTGGGACTGTGCAGAGTCCGTACATTCAGAATAAGAACAGATACTGAGAATTATACCCGACATACAGGACAGGAGAAGTGGGACTGTGCAGAGTCCGTACATACAGAATATGAACAGATACCAAGAATTACACCCGACATACAGGACAGGAGAAGTGGGACTGTGCAGAGTCCGTACATTCAGAATAAGAACAGATAGAGAATTATACCCGACATATAGGACAAGAGAAGTGGGACTGTGCAGAGTCCTTACATACAGAATAAGGAGATACTTAGAATTACACCCGGCATACAGGACAAGAGAAGTGGGACTGTGCAGAGTCCTTACATACAGAATAAGGAGATACCGAGAATTACACCCGGCATACAGGACAAGAGAAGTGGGACTGTGCAGAGTCCTTACATACAGAATAAGGAGATACCGAGAATTACACCCGGCATACAGGACAAGAGAAGTGGGACTGTGCAGAGTCCGTACATACAGAATGTGAACAGATACCGAGAATGACCCCCGGCATCCAGGACATTTACATACAAAGAATGGAAGCTCACAGTTATACCCAGTGTATATAACAAAGGAAGTAGTACTATGCAGTGTTCATATATATAATTGTAACCATTTTTAGAAACAAATCTGCATTTTGGAAATATGACCCTAGGAGGACTGTCCAACAATATACAGGTCATCAGGAAGAGGGCTCGGTCTGGTCTCCGTAACTGGATGGGGGCCATTCACATGGGAAACCATCCCAATGCGTGCAGCAGCAGCAATGTTACCAGATTTGTACCCAGTACAGATGAATGGTTGGTGCTGCCACTGGTCACATGTATCACACCTCTGTTCAGGGACATGTGATTAGGGACTCTGGACACAGATAGTTTGCATCCGGGTTCAGTGGTTCTGGATGCATCTCATTGCCCGGTTTGTACAAGGCCATAGCACAGAGTGCCTTTAGCCACATCTGAGCATTCTAGCCGCCCTCATTCATCCATTTGAACGAGCCTTTACTGAGCAGCGAGTTACCATGCAGCACTGCAACGCAAAGGTCTGAAGGGGGCCTTCACAACACAAATCATATAAAGAACACCAAAATCTCATCATATGTTTAGCACTTCCACCTGGCAGCACTAGGGACGTTGGTTCGAATCCCATACTCACCACCAGCTGCCTGGAGTTTGCATGTTCTCCCTGTGCCTGCGTGGGTTTCTTCTGGGTACTCCAAAGATATGCCGGTAGGTTTATTGGATCCTGTCTAAACTGGCCCTAGTATGTGTATGTATGGTAGGGTTACCAGCTCATCCTTTTAAAACTGAACACATATCAATGACACGGGTTCTGAGGCTAATTTCATGCAGATGAGGCACTAAGTGAGTGTAATTACCACCGTAATCAGTCATTTGTAATTATTATGTGTTCGGGTTTGAAGGGATGAGGTGGCCACCCTAATGTATGAATGTAAGTTAGTTACTTTAGATTGTATGCCCCTGGAGGGTTAGGCTGCATTCACACTTGAGTGTTTTGTAGCTTTATCCCAGGTTCACACATAGAGTGTGAAACCGCAGTGCAGCATATGGCATGGGATTGGCACAGGAACCGCACCACATTCCTGGGCAAATCACCTGCCAATTCTGTGCGGTGCGATTGGAGCCATACATTTTGTATAGCTCTAATCGCACCGCAGACACACCAAGAAGGTGCAGGACCCTTTCTTTGGTCCACACTAGAATCAGATCGCATTAGTATTCACACCCATGTGATCCGATTCTGCACATTGCACTGTGTTTTGCGAACCGATTTTGGGGTGTTGTTAACTTAACATACAAACCCCGCAGTGTGATGAAGCTCCAAAAAAGCTCAAAAAACTTAAAAAAAAAAAAATGAATTGTTCTCTACAGTGCCTGTTCACGCGGCATCAGGTGTGAACAGGCACCATAAAAAACAATAGATTTTTTAGGTTTGAGCTTTTTTTGGAGCTTCAAGCTACAAAATGCTCAAGTGTGAATGCAGCCTTAGGGACTGATGTGAATGTACAATATGTATGTAAAGTGCTGCGTAAACTGACGGCGCTATATAAGTACCTGAAATAAATAAAATGTGAGATGCATTAAAAATACATTGATAACACTCAAACCTAGTTAAATAACACATTTCCAACACAGGTATAAATGCCTCCTTACCCTAGGATCACACCTAAGCATTTTCTGCAGAAACGCAGTACAGTTTATTTATTTCAGGTACTGATATAGTGCTGTCAATTTATGCAGTGCTTTTACATATATATATACAGTGGGGATCAAAAGTTTGGGCACCCCAGCTAAAAATGTGTATTAATGTGCATAAAGAAGCCAAGGAAAGATGGAAAAATCTCCAAAAGGCATCAAATTACAGATTAGACATTCTTATAATATGTCAACAAAAGTTAGATTTTATTTCCATCATTTACACTTTCAAAATAACAGAAAACAAAAAAATGGCGTCTGCAAAAGTTTGGGCACCCTGCAGAGTTAATATCTTGTACTGCCCCCTTTGGCAAGTATCACAGCTTGTAAACGCTTTTTGTAGCCAGCCAAGAGTCTTTCAATTCTTGTTTGAGGTATCTTTGCCCATTCTTCCTTACAAAAGTCTTCCAGTTCTTTGAGATTTCTGGGCTGTCTGTCACGCACTGCTCTTTTAAGGTCTATCCATAGATTTTCAATGATGTTGAGGTCAGGAGATTGTGAAGGCCATGGCAAAACCTTCAGTTTACGCCTCTTGATGTAATCCCCCATGGATTTCGAGGTGTGTTTAGGATCATTATCCATTTGTAGAAGCCATCCTCTCTTTAACTTCAGCTTTTTCACAGATGGCATCAAGTTACCATCCAAAATTTGCTGAAATTTTATTGAATCCATTTTTCCTTCTACTCGGGAGATGTTCCCTGTGCCACTGGCTGCAACACAACCCCAAAGCATGATTGATCCAACCCCATGCTTAACAGTTGGACAGAGGTTCTTTTCATTAAATTCTGTGCCCCTTCTTCTCCAAACGTACCTTTGCTCATTCTGGCAAAAAGTTCAATTTTAACCTCATCGGTCCACAGAACTTGTTTCCAAAATGCATCAGGCTTGTCTATATGTTCATTTGCAAAGTTCAAACGATGATTTTTGTGGTGAGGACGTAGAAGAGGGTGACCAAACTTTCGATCCCCGCTGTATATCATGCATTCACATCAGTCCCTAACCCTCAATGGGCATACGATCTAAGGTCCCTATCCCTCAAGGGGCATACGATCTAAGGTCCCTATCCCTCAAGGGGCATACGATCTAAGGTCCCTAACCCTCAAGGGGCGTACAATCTTTGGTCCCTAACCCTCAAGGGGCGTACGATCTAAGGTCCCTAACCCTCAAGGGGCGTACGATCTAAGGTCCCTAACCCTCAAGGGGTGTACAATCTAAGGTCCCTAACCCTCAAGGGGCGTACGATCTAAGGTCCCTAACCCTCAAGGGGCGTACGATCTAAGGTCCCTAACCCTCAAGGAGCGTACGATCTAAGGTCCCTAACCCTCAAGGGTGTACAATCTAAGGTCCCTAACCCTCAAGGGGCGTACAATCCAAGGTCCCCTAACCCTCAAGGGGCATACGATCTAAGGTCCCAACCCTAAGGGGCATACGATCTAAGGTCCCTAACCTCAAGGGGCATACGATCTAAGGTCCCTAACCCTCAAGGGGCGTACGATCTAAGGTCCCTAACCCTCAAGGGGCGTACGATCTTTGGTCCCTAACCCTCAAGGGGTGTACGATCTAAGGTCCCTAACCCTCAAGGGGGCATACAATTTTTGGTCCCTAACCCTCAAGGGGTGTACAATCTAAGGTCCCTAACCCTCAAGGGGCGTACAATCTAAGGTCCCCAACCCTCAAGGGGCATACGATTTAAGGTCCCAACCCTCAAGGGGCATACGATCTAAGGTCCCTAACCCTCAAGGGGCGTACGATCTAAGGTCCCTAACCCTCAAGGGGCGTACGATCTTTGGTCCCTAACCCTCAAGGGGCGTACGATCTTTGGTCCCTAACCCTCAAGGGGCGTACGATCTAAGGTCCCTAACCCTCAAGGGGCGTACGATCTAAGGTCCCTAACCCTCAAGGGGCGTACGATCTAAGGTCTCCAACCCTCAAGGGGCGTACAATCTAAGGTCCCTAACCCTCAAGGGGCGTACAATCTAAGGTCCCTAACCCTCAAGGGGTGTACCATCTAAGGTCCCTAACCCTCAAGGGGCGTACCATCTAAGGTCCCTAACCCTCAAGGGGCATACGATCCAAGGTCCCTAACCCTCAAGGGGCGTACGATCTAAGGTCCCTAACCCTCAAGGGGCGTACAATCTAAGGTCCCTAACTTACATTCATACATATACATACTAGGGCCAATTTAGACAGCAGCCAATTAACCTCCCAGCATGTCTGTGGAGTGTGAGAGGAAACTGGAGTACCCGGAGGAAACCCACACAGGCACAAGGAGAACATACAAACTCCAGGCAGGTGGTGCTGTGGCAGGGATTTGAACTAACAACGCTAGTGCTGCCAGGCAGAAGTTCTAGCCATTTAGCCACTGTGCTGCCCTTTAACATGATTTCCTATGGGACATGTTCACACCTGTGCGTTTTCACCCATTGCATTTTTTAGAAAGGGTCAGGGACTTTTTATGAATGCAAAAAGTTGCGTTTTTGTTTCTATAGGCTTCAATGGAAACACTGCAGGAAATCATGTATTGCGTTTTTGATGCGTTGTCACGTTTTTGATGCGATTTCAATCTGAAAAAAATGAAAAAAAAAAAAAACCCTGCAAAATACGCCCAAAAACACAATGCAGAAACGGTGGTTAGGTGTGAACCTGGCCTTGGGAAACCTTTGCTGACCCCATAGATGAAGACAAACTGAGAATAAGAAGCCTGCATGTATGGCATGTGCAAATATGTACGCCGAACGCTTGAGTCAGGCTAATCAGTCCACAATGCATTCTCCTGCTCAGGATATCCACGGGAGCTAAATTTGGAGGCCGTGTATAGGTGATATTGTGTGCAGAGATAAATGGTGAGGAAATGCAGGACAATAACCGATTCAGCTCCCCCCCCCCCCCTGTTCCTGCCTTTCCATCGCCTCTCCCCTCTGCCAATGCTCGCCTGTTG